TTCTGCATTCCCGACCAGTCTCCTCTGAGTGGTCCTGTGCTGATTGGGGGGCAGATCTCAGTGTTCTCCCCATCTCCCCCGCTGCCTGTGCTCCAAATACTTCCCATGGGACAGGCCCTGCCCAGGTCCCTTGTGGTGACTCACCAGCCTCTGAATGGCTCCCTTTTTACAGTTGTTCTGGCTCCTTGCTCCCGCGTGGGTCCACGGGAATCCTATTAGTGGTCTTGCTGTCCTGGGGGCCACCAAAGTCCTCTTCTCCTCTTCCGCCTCCAAGTAACTCCATCTACAGGGCACAGCTGTGGCTTCTGCTGGCTCCTGCTCCATGTGCTCCAGCATTAAAGTGGCCGCAGCCCAAAACGCTGAGTAGTTTTTTCTTTCTCTCATCGTGGTTTCTCCTGTCTTCATGTGTTCCATAGGTCTCTCCTCCTCTTCACCTGAGCTCCAGCGGCCCCAACTTGGCTGATATTATGTTTTTATAGTTGTAAATTGGTTGATTTGTGGGAGAGAGTGACACTGGGGACCGTCTATTCTGCCATCTTGACTGGAACCAGAAATTATGATTATATAAATAAAATTTATATTTTAATCAGTAGATTGCCTCCATAAGTAAATTCATTGGACTAAAAATTATTTACCAGGGCCGGCCCGTGGCTCACTCGGGAGAGTGCGGTGCTGATAACACCAAGGCCCCGGGTTCGGATCCCATATAGGGATGGCCGGTTCGCTCACTGGCTGAGTGTAGTGCTGACAACACCAAGTCAAGGGTTAAGATCCCCTTACCAGTCATCTTTAAAAAAAAAAAAATTATTTACCAAATCAAATATGTCATCATGTTCTATGTTCTGTTTGTTAAGTATCTGACACCTAAGAATATCCTTTCTTGGTGCTATAGATCTTCTTTTTGCCTATTGTGTAGTACACATTGTAATTCTTTATAGTAGATTTCTTCAAAATCATTACAATCTGTTTTAAACTTTTAGATAGTAGTTCATAAATTGTATCAGATTAATGTTAATGATTTAACAAGGAGATTATTCATCTTTTTTTTATTGGTGGTGTTTGTTTTGTTTTTTAAAGAATTACAGTTTCGGGTTTTTAGAAAAAGCACAGTTTAATTCCTGGTTGTTAAGGTGAGAAATTTTATTTGTCATCTTCCTGCTATAGCAGAACTTAATAATAAAATAATTCTTGTAGCTTTCTAAAAATTTGGACATATTAACTTTCTTTTTCATAATTCTTTAGTGCACTTCCATCTCTTCATTTCCAGATATGAATAAAGAAGCATATAACCCCATGCAATATGATACAAGCTATGCTGCTATAAAAAAAAAAACCCAAAAAAGAAAAAAAAAAAAAAAGTCAACACTGTCCATACTGAAACAATATGGAATTTCATTATCTTCTCAGGTAACATCTCAGAGGTAAGTAGGTGGCAGGTCAAGACAGGAATGCATCTCTGTTCCATGATGTCATCAAATGACCCAGGTTCCCTCTATCTCATTTCTTCATCAACTTAGGCTGTTGTCCTTATCCACGTGTTAGCTTGCCATATCCTCTACATTACAGAAGTGGCAGTCAAATGTTTTTGCTTTTAAAGAAGTGACATTAAAGTTGCAAACCACTTCTGATCACATTCCACATTTTGGCAAGAAATTAGTGACATGACCTATCTAACTTCAAGGGACCCTGGAAAATGTAGTCTAACTTGGCAGTTATGTGCCCTTCTCCATACTTGTAGGGGAGTCTATTAAAAAAGATATGAGGATGGATGATAGTGACAGTTTGAATGCCTTCCCATATCCAGTTAGCCACTGTCCACTACTGTGTGACCATGAAGGATGTGTCCATTGCTGGGAATGATGGAGTACAGGGATGGAAAGAATTTCAGACACTGATTAACATTGAGAAGGTTGGATCTCACCTACCTCTGAACTTCCAGTTAAGAAGATAATACATTTATTATTTAGGCTAGTTTAAATCAGTGATATCTGTTATTTGCACATGAAAGTATTCTGACATACCTTCCTTGGAGTTGACATATTTTTCAGGTATTGCTGGATTTGGTTTGTTATCACTTTAGGTAGGATTTTATCTTTTTCACCTTTTTTTTCTTTTTTGATAGCTGGCCAGTATGAGGATCTGAACTCTTGACCTTGGTGTTATAACACTGTGTTCTAACCAACTGATAGGTAGGGCTTTAATGTCTATGTTGTCACTGAAGATTGGCTTAAATTCTTTCTTTCCCTACTGTCTCTGTCTAATTTTGTTATCAAGGTTATCTAGTTTTTTTACTCTCTATATAGTCTTATAGGATAAGAATTATCTAATGCTTGAACGTTTGATGAAGTATACGTGAAAAGCCTCCAGAACTTATTTAATGGTTTTCTATTTCTTTTTGAGTCAGTTTTGGTATTCGTAATTTTCTTTACTATAAACCACTGCATATGTTTTAAAATATGTTCACATAATGGTGATCACAGTATTTGCAAGATTTTAAAAATCTCTACTGTTTCTGTGACTATGTCTGCTTTTTCATTCCTAATACCATTTATTTATTTCTTTTCTCTCTTATTTGCTGGGCCACCTTTAGCATATCTTTCATCCTCATGTTGTCAAGATGGCTGCTCCACTTGCAACATCTTGTGTCAGCTCCAAGCAGGAAGAAGATTTTGTGTGAGATGGACCACGGGCAAAAGTTACAGGCCAGCTGAGACTCTTTCCACCTTCCCTCACCAAGGTCCCAGTAATTTGTGCTTACATTTCATTGATCAGACCCAGGTTACAGGTCTACTGTTCCTTGCAAGGGAGTCTGGGGAGGTGAGCATATTTAGCTTGGCAGATGACCACCCTGAAGAACATCAGTGTTCTGCTAGCGTGGAAGTAGGGCAGAATAGATATTGGAAGGCAACTAGCAGTGCCTGTCACAGCTATTAAATGGCCCTGGGTCAATCCGACTGTGAAACTGAGTCTTTTCTGAGACTGTAATGCTTTGAGGTGAAATGCTGACCTTTTCCTTCCTGCAGCATGTGGCTGAGTGACCGTTGGATTCAGAGATAGAAATCATCCTCATTCCACCACTGAGGCCATGAGACCCGAGACCAATTCAGGAGTCAGGTCTGGAAACCTGCATTCGGGTGTGATTGGGTGTGCGGAGGTCAGTGCATCTGTACTCCCTGTGCTGCTGTTAGTGAGGGCATTCGCCAGGGAAACGAGGTCCTCAGATCCAGGGATAAAGTTCTCAACAGTTGACAAGGCCCGCTGGGAGAGACTGGCCCTAAGCATGCAGGAGAGGTCTTCAAAAAGTTCATCATCTTTTAATTCTATTTTTCCACGAAATTTTTGAAGTACCCTCATACGTGAATAAAAACATCATCTAGTTTCACATCATGATACATACTAAGCAAGGGCATTTTAAAAGGTCACGGTAGGGGGTATTTTTGACTGAGACCCTGGGCAGTCCTCCCTGAGAGATGACAAGTGAACGACATAAATTAGCCAGCCCAGAAATAAGTTTTGGGGAAGACTGTTCAGACACAGGACCTGCAAATGCCTAAGTTACAAGATGGGGAATGGCGTTTTGGAGGGTTGGTGTGGGAGGGTGGGCAGGCCACTGAAGCTGGGGAGAATGGGAGGTGGGGGCAGCACCAAAAACCAATCTCACATCCACTCCCTTACCCCCATCCCACATGTATCCTCCATCAGAATCACACTGTGGACATGGTAAGGCCCCAGTGTCGCCCTTCCCCTCCGCGAGCGCCCCCACCCCCATCGGCGGTGACCCCCCCACAGGAAGCCGACGCACAGGAACAAGGCGCCTGCCCCCATCAAAAGTCGGTTTCTCCCAGCCCTGCCGCTCCGTTCCCGCTCCCACCCACTGTGCTTGCGCGTTCTAAACCGGGCGCTCACTCCCAGAAGCCTTTGGGGCGCGGTTCTGTATGGCGGGGCGGCTTGTGCTTCCGGCCAGACCCAGGCCCGGCGGCGGCTGCGATCCGGAAGGGCCCGGGAGCTGCCGGTCTGGGGCCGGACCGACGGGCGCTGCATAGGCGCGAGGCTGACCTGCGCCTTGCCGCCGGAGCTCAGCTTGGCAACGCCGCCATCCCTAGTCGGCACTACGTTTCCCAGCGGGCGCTGCGCGGGAGCCACGCCCACTTCCGGCGTGCGAGCGGGCCGGGCTGCGGGCGCGACTGCCGGGCGGGGCCGGGGCGCGGGGCGGGTACAGCGGGTGTGTCCCGGGCTGGGGGGTGTGCCTGAGTGACCGGCCCGGAGGGGGTCTGCGGGGCTTTGGGGCGTGTGTGCGCTCAGCTCAAGTGACATGCGGGGAGCGGTAAGCGCGGGTGCCCGCGAACCGGGGCCTTTCCCGGGGCAAGGCGTCTCCCGCACAAAGCCCAGGGCGAGCCGAGGCCCGACTGCGAGGACGCCAGTCAGCTCTGCCCGTGGAAGGCCGCGCTCTAGGAATGGCCTCACCTCCAAGGGCCAGCGAGCAGCGGTGGCCACGGGTCCTGGGCACAGAGGTGAGGGTGACAGGTGTCCGGGCAGGGCCGGACGGACAGTGAAGAATTCATCCTCTCTGAGTAAGGTCTTTGCGGTGGGTTAGGGGGTGCTCTCTCGGGCCTAGGTGCTGGTGAAAGGTGTCCCTTTTTCTCTGAGGCCGGTAGTGGTGGGGAATCCAAACGTTTTTAAGCTCAACTTGAGTCATATTATCAAGCGGTGGTGCAGGATGGGACCTTGATTTGCCCAGGGTCACCCCAACCAGATACCTCCTTGTTTTCATGCTTGCAGAGAAAAAATTCCGCCCGTCTCCCCCACCCCCCTATCTTGCCACCCGTGGTAGCCCCTAGTTAGAGTAGTGACCGGATCCCACCTGCCTCTTCAGAAATGGTCCTGTCCTGTTCATTCCTGAGCATTTGATTCTCCACTTGTTGAAGTCCTTTCTAATTTATAACTGTTGCTTAAGACTCAGCAGGGAGGGGTGTTTCTAGGTTGGTGATTTGGGAGTTTGACTAGCAACTCCTTTTTTCTCCCCCAGTTCTGCCTTCCAGGGACACTGCACTTTTGCAGGAGAGGAGCCACAGGCAGGAGGCCATGGGGATGGGAACTGATCTTAAAGCCAAGTCCCAGGTGAGTTGGCATTCCTTCTCTCCTCTGAAATCCAGTCTCACTTTTCAGTATTTAATAGTACTTCTCCGAAAAGTTTTATCTTCTCTGAAAAATTTTCAGTTTAAGAGTCTTGTTCTGGGTGCTGGTTCCTATTTCCTCCCATTCTGGTGAGCGATTGCTACGGGGATAGGCTTAAACTGCCCAAGGCCTCCCTCTCTGTTTCTTCTTCATCCCACTCAGCATTCATTCTTGATTAAAGAAATGTTTCAGCCCCTCTATTGTGTCACTTTTCTCAGAGGGACTCTGATGGGATGGAAATGTACTTCTTGGTAGAATGCGGCAGCCCCTTGTGCTGTACCTGGATGGTTTGGCGCCCACTTTCTGCCAACTCAGGTCCCTGCTCTCTGGGAGCTCACAGCCTTTTAGTAGAAATTCAAGGAAATAAACAAGGTCCTAGAATGTGATAGTCCTGAACCAAGTACTATGAGAGTGGAAGGAGCTTCTGGCTTCTAGCTGTCTGTGGAGGAAGGTCAGGGTGGATTTACCAAGCAGGTGATTTTTGAGCTGAGTCACACCTTGAAGGGAGAGGAGATGTTTGGCAGGTAGGAGAGGGTGGGGAGAGGAAGTGCAACATGAAAGACTTTCTTTTCCCCATTTGATTGTGTGGCTTTTTAAAATGCTAATAAATAACTTTATTTTTGTCAGCTGTCTCATAAGTACACTATAGCTAGCTCACAAATGTATGAACCAGTTTCTAATTGTCCCATCCAAACTGCTCTTAAGTGGGTTACCACTTGGTAATGTGATCTCCACATTATCCAATGTAGTGCTCGATTCTCAGTCTTTTTGACTATTGTTGGCATTTTAATTAGCTCAGGGGTTGGCAAACTTTCACTGTAAAAGGCCAAGGTATTACGTATGGTAAGCTTTTAAGGTCTCTGCTGCAGCCACCCTATTCTGCCCATATAGAGCTAAAGCAGCCATAGACAATATGTAAATGAGTGGACAGGGCTGTGTCCAATAAATCTTTACAAAAACTCCTGAAGTAGCTCATTCCTCATACTCCAGTTGGCCCTTTTTTTCTGTTTGCTTAGGACATCACACTTGTCTGGCTCTTCTCCCGCCTTCCTGACTTCTCAGGTTTTGCTGTCATTCTTCCTCATCTCCCTCACCTTGAACTGTTGGCATGCCTCAGTACTCTGTTCTTGGCTCTTTTTTGTCTGCATGCCTTCCCCTGGGGAGATCAGTCTGTTCCTTGTCTGTAAAACCCAGCCACATGCTGGCTTCTTCCAAATTGACATTGCCAACCCAAACCTCTCTGAGCTCCAGGCCTGTTTATCTAACTTGACTCCTCCGCTTGAATGTCTAATAAGTAACTCAAACCTGATGGGTCCAGACCCAAATTCCTGAAATTCCATGATGAATCAATTCTCCCACAGTTGTCCTCCATCTCAGTTCCTGGCAGTTTCATGCTCTCAGTTACTCAGTACAAAAACCTTGTCATTGTCTCCTCCCTTTTCCTCCCTTCTCATATTTGTTCCATTTGCAAATTCTGTCAATTCTGTTTCCACATTGTGTCCAAAATCCAATGGTTTTTGCCACATCCACCATCACCTCAATCCAAGCCTCATTATCTCTTACTATTGGTCTCTTGACTCTGCTTCTATGACCTGTTGTGCTCAGCTCCCCACCATCCCTTTCCAATGCAGCAGACAGAGGGGGTCTGTTCAAACATATCAGCCCTTGTCACTCTCTGCTCAAAACACTCCCATGGCTCCCCCAGTAAAAGCAAAGTTTACTGGCTCCCCCAGTAAACTCCTTAATGTGACCAATTAGGCCCTATATGTCCAGGCTCCTTGTTACCTCTGACATCTACTGCTATACTTGACTGTCTCTTTTCTTTCTCAAAAATTGCCACCTTGTTTTCCTGGTCACCCTGTCTAAAATCTCAAAGCTTCCCGCCACCAATTCTTCACATCACTCTTCCCTGCTTTACTTTTTTCTTTTAGCATTTTTCAACATACTGTGTATTTTCTTAATTTATCTTTTTTCCTCTTGTCTCATTCCCTTACTTCATAGGCAGGGATTTTGGGCAGTTTTGCCCCAGTGCCTGATACAGAAAATATTTGTTGGATGAATGTTTGAATATAGTCTTATAGTTGTCTTGTAGCCAGTGTTTTGCTATTTAGTATTAGTGTTAGAATAATCATTTGTAATACCTGAAAATGTGCTTCATTCTTGCTTATTTCATATTAATACATTCCCAGAAGTTTTTCTTTCCTTGTGGATGTTACCAAATTCTAGTTTTCCTAACAATGGCAAAGGAGTAACAAACACTAGAAAAATGGACATCATTTTCTCTTGCACCAAAGATTTATAAAAATATTATAAAGACTGTTAAACAATGTTCTAAAGATACCTTGTTTCATTTAGAAAAGACTATCTGAAAAATATTTGAAATATTTAGATATCTGAAAAAAAATATGAAAAAAATAAGTGCAAGACTTATCAGCCAGGAAGCATGCAGTTAGAATTATAAGACTGGGATCTGTTAAAACCCATGTTTTATAATTGGGTTAGAATAGAGGCATAGAGGCATTCCTTTGTGCATAGAAGCAGCATTGTGTCTGAGCACCTATATCTTTGAACATGATTTAAAGTATTTGAAATGTTTGAGCTCCAGTATACTTGCAGATTTCCACTGCTGAATCTTGTGCAGTTTTCAGAATTAAAGGCATTTAACAAACCGATGGTGCAAAATGTAGATTGCTAATAGATACACATGATTAATTAAGAAAACTAGAGGTGATTCTTCCTGGCAAGTTGAACACTCCTATCAAATATTCAGCAAGCAAATTGGTTCCTTTGTTTTCATGCCAAGATGCTCCAACTTTCAAAATTATTGTTGAGAGCTAATCAGCATTTGTTTTAGACTCGCTTGCTCAGGTAGGCATATTAGTGTGTCTTTTGCTCAAGGTCATTAAGCAGTTCTTGGCTTTTTCCTGCAAATATTAACAGGTGGTCTACACTGCATGGGGCCTTTCAGTCTCCAGCTTAGGAGATTTCTCCATCAAGAGTTTACTATTTTCTCACAAATTAGGATATCACTTAGAAAACCTTTTTGACTTATCTTTACACAGGTCAGTTAAAAAATGTCTTCAAAGTTTGGTAGCAGGTTAAAGAATATGTGATAGTATATTCTCAATAGATAACAAACCTCAAAGGGACTTTTGTTTCTAGCAGAATAATGTGAACTTTTAGACTAAAAGGTTCAGCTGTTAGTCAGTGTTGTGATTTGTTAAATGAGATAGTTAGGTTTGGTGATTCAGGTTTGGCACAGTGAGGGACACTCAGATTGGGATGGCAAAAAGATTAAGTTTATTACTCACAGATGCCAGAGAGAAGAGGGTAGCACATCTCATAGGGCCAACAGGAAGGGGTGTGGGTGGCATCCAGGACACATACCCTCAACCTGTGGGTTAGGAATGAAAGAGAGAGGGAGGGACCTGTGGGCCGGAGACTTTGTTAGGGTCCAGGGGTTTACCTAGGTGGGTTTCCTGAGACAGGGTTGGATTGGTTAATTTAATGGAGTGCAAGGTTAAGTGAGGGAACTTGGGGGTGACGTTATTAGGTTCACTATGCTTAATGAAGGAGTAAGGTGGCCAAGTGGTTGAGAGTATGGAGCCTTATCTGTCTGGAACATAAAAATGGGGACTGGGTAAAGACTGTCTCAAAATATATGGGTCAAGGGTGACAAGCCATGGACAGACAACAGGATGGATGCTGAGGCAGCATTAACCTGACTGAGACTTATGATGTCAGTATCGTCATAGCTAACATTCATAGAACATTTACCTCATGCCTTACGTGTTTTAAGTGCTGTGTATGTAGTATCTCGTTTAATCCAAGTAAGGATCTATGAGGTTGGTATTGTTGATTTTTCCATTTTACAACTGGGAAACTGAGTTACAGAGGGGTTAAGTAACTAATTGCAATTTCAGAGCTGGTGGATGCCAGAGTCCAAATTCAGCTTTTGGGGTAGTCTGCCTTTTTTGCTTATTGATTTGAAAATCCCATGACCGTTACTCAGTTAAATTTGCCTTCTATTAGCCACAGATCCCCAGGATTAGAGTTTGAATTGAATAAATGTTTAAAATATGTTGGTATATATCAGAGTTGTATGCTAAAATCATAAAAATATGCTGCATAAAGTCTGCCAGCAGTAGAGGAGCAGCATCACCTTGCCTGTTGGTCAGGAAAACGCTGTTCGTGCCCAAGCACATCGTAAATGTGTTCATGATACCTCCTGACACTTCCCAGCTTCCAAGATGGCAACTTGGTTGTTATAGGTATTTTATTAATTAAAAATGTTATAGTGTTTTTTGTCCTTGTTACACGCTCATGTTTATTTTAGAAAAAAAGAGTATTGATAGTTTTTTTGTTTTTGTTTTTTAAAAAATGAATAGCTGTTAAAATAGTAAATTAAACTAAAAGTAAAAATAAAAATTCTTAGAACCTAGTTTGGGGATAAGTCGTGTTGATCTCTTGAGGTTCATCTTTAGGTTTATTTTACCATTCTTGTGCTGCTCCAGGCTACTCAGATGTCCTGGTGTTGAACAATGCTGTAGTACCCATTGTGCATAGAACAACTTAGCCTTCATTTTTTATTGTTTTGAATTGATGACAAATATTTTCCTTGTGTGTGCCTCCTTTCACCTCCATAAAACTACATGTTCTTTTAGGGCAGGGGCTGTCTCCATATTTTTCTCTTCTTTCTGGATTTTATGACTTAATGAAGCCAGCTGTCCAGTAATGAACTAGATTTCCAAATCACCAAGTATAGAGTCTCTTACTCAAAATGAAGACAAGGTAATCCTTAGATCTCTGTATTAGTTCACTAGGGCTGCCATAACAAACTACCACAGACTGGGTGTCTTAAACAACAGAAATTTCTTTTCTCACAATTCTGGAGGCTGGAAGTCAGAGATTAAGGTATCTGCAGGTTTGGTTTCTCCTGAGGCCTCTCTCCTTGGTTTGCAGTGGCCATCTTCTCATGGTGTCCTCACTTGGCCTTTTCACTGTGCATACACATCCTTGGTATTTCCTCCTCCTCTTATAAAGGACACCAGTCAGATTGGATTAAGGCCCCAACCATTTGTCCTTAGTTAACTTTAATTACCTCTTTAAAGGCCCTATCTCTAGATGCAGTTATATTCTGAAGTACTGGGTTTTAGGACTTCAATACAGGAATTTTGGGGGGACACAGTTCATTCTATAAAAATACCCTAGTCATGTGGAGGCATGAACACTGCTTGAGCAAGAACGTGGTTGTGTCATTTCAGGGCTTGGTGACATTTGGGGATGTGGCTGTAGATTTCTCTCAAGAGGAGTGGGAATGGCTGAACCCCATTCAGAGGAATCTGTACAGGAAGGTGATGTTGGAGAACTACAGGAACCTGGCATCGCTGGGTAAGGGTGTTCTCTGCTCCTTCTTCTATCTCTCCCCCTTCTCACTGCTGTGACTGAGAAGTCCCTTCACTCCTTCATCAGTGAGCCCTGCACTATCTTTTCCCATCAAGCCAAGGGGACTGCATCTCAAGTCTGGACGGACCCACAGCGTGACCACATCCTATTTCTTCTTATGTGTCTAGGACTTTGTGTTTCTAAGCCTGATATGATCTCCTCATTGGAACAAGGGAAAGAGCCCTGGATGGTGAAGAGAAAGATGACAAGAGGTTGGTGCTCAGGTGAGAAACGGGTGGGGTGAAGTCACTGCTGGTCACAGCTCAGCTGCTTCAGACACGTAGTATCATCAGTAGACTCTTCCTAAGCTTCTGGCCCAGAGGGGAACTCAAGGCCACTTTAGAATGGGCTTCCCAAATTTTTATTCTCCCGCATCTCTTCTGTTCAGCTTTGTTCCCCTCCCCCTAAATATAATGTATTTTCCTCTACTCTGGATCCCATTTCTTCCTAGCTCCTCCTCCCCTTTGTCTTTCAGACTTATGAAATCATCTCTGTTCTTTAAAAAAAAATCTTTTGCTGGTTTTGATGTAGTTTTTACTGTCTCGTCTTTAATTAAGTGACTATTTCATTTATGGAGTTATTCTTTTAATTGATGTTAACAGAGTTTCAGCTTTGAGTAAGGCCGTCAGTTGCTGGTTGGTAAGATGAGCTTAGCTGTAAAAGGATAAACCATCTCATAGAAGAGATGAGACACAGCTATGCATAACTTAACTGAAGTAGGGACTGTTCATCTGTATGAGAAGTGTCGATAGGCATAAGAGGAAGAAGAAAAATCATTCCCGTTTTCATCCAGGGAAATAAGGAATGAGACTAGAGCCTTGAACAGAAACATTAGAATTAGAAGAAAGATTGGTAGGTTAGGAGATGAGTTGGGGTTAGGATGTAATAGATTTGGGGTTCATGTGGACTTCTCAGTGCAAACCGCATGCAGTTGGATTATTGACTCTCAGAAGAAAAGAACTCTGATTCTGATCTGGTGGAATATTTTTACGGATATTGTGGTATTTATACTGTTTGGGAATACAGAGATTTCAACCACAGCATTATTTCTGGACCAGCAAATTATTAAGTAAGACAAGGAATCAGAACTATAGATTTCTTTCAGAGATTTTATTATAATAGGAAATGGTAATTTCTAAAGAATTGAGAATCTTATAAGATTTCTTTGTTTAAATCATACATCAAAGGTAAAGTTTGTATTGACAGAACAGGACAGGTTGCTCAGAGTTTTAAATGATAACTTCCGGGCTGGCTAGTTAGCTCAGTTGGTTAGAGCGCAGCATATAACACTAAGTCACAGGTTCAGATCCCTGCACTGGCCAGCCACCAAAAATTAAAAATTAAAAAAACAAAACAGAATTCTCATAAGTCATCATGTCAGATAGGAGAACAAGTGATATTTTTCTGAAAGTTTTCAGTTTAATTCATCATATGAAATCACATTCTTTGAACTAGTTTTATGAGACAACTGTTTTTCCCTCCTGCAGATCCTTCATCTCTTGCTCAGACTCTGGTTGATTATGAACATTTGGCTTTTTTTTTTTTTTTAGTGATTGACCAGAATCTGGGCTTTTATCAGTTAGCATTGTAAGGAGGCATGTAGAACTAGAGATGAAATTGTTGCTAGATATAATGGAAAAAGAGCGAAAGGGAGTTTTACTTAGTAAAGCTGAAATAGGGATGGTATAGCAGATTTCTTCTACAGCCTCTGCTTCCTCTTTGTTTATATTAGCAACATTTTATCTTAAAGTCGTGAGCTCTGTTATTTCTTGATTTTTAATTTCTTTTCCCAGTCTTTTGCTAAAAACATAATGGGCACTAGGTCAACATTTAGGTGGGAAAGCTTATATTGTATCCTTTAGGACTGCAGCTATACAAATTTAGGAATGTAAGGTTGGTTGAATATTGCTGGTCATAAAAAAAACTCTCAAAATAATATGCTTTTCTGAGGGTTTAATTTACCCGTTACATTTTGGAATTTTTCTTCATACTAACACTAATAAAAGAGATACTGCTTTCTTAATATCTTTTAGACTTGAAGGCTGTGCGGGAGACCAAGGAGCTACTTTCAAAGGAGAATTTCTTTGAAGAAAAGTTATCCCAGACAGTGATAACAGAGAAACTCACAAACTATAGTCTGGAGTACTCTATATTAGGGCAAAACTGGGATTATGATGCTCTGTTTGAGACACAGTTGGTAAGTCAGGAGATAAACTTCAGGCAAGACAATATATCCTTCCTAAAGAAACCTTTTTGAGGAAAGAGACTGTGACTACAATGAATATGGGAGAAGTTTCCATTTGAATACAATACTTTTTGTAGACAGATTATCCCCCCAGAGGAAACAGTACATAATCTTGATACATATAAGAAAAGTGTATGGTGGGAGGCATTGAGCTGTAGCGAATTACAAACAAATATGTTTAGGTTAGAAATGTTTGACTTCTTACAAATGTGAGAAAACTTTGAGGAGGATCTCAACCCTTGCTTTTCATCAACGATTTCATACAAGAGAAAAACTCTGTGGACTTATTGAACAGTGTGAATTAAATATGGGAAAGCCTCCAGTCAGCATTAAAAAATTCATACTGTGTCTAAGTCCTCTACAAAATTCTCGTCTACAAAATTACAAATTCTCCATGGCAGAAACAGTTTCTCCTATTTTTCTATTTTTTTCCAAACAAATACAATATAAATAGACTTAGCAATTATGTGACCTGGTTTACTGAGAACCTAAGTCACACTTCTTGGTACAGAGCACCTCTTCTACAATATGTGGACACAGCCCACCCCACTAGGGCCATGCGAGTTCACAAGCATGGTTTGATCAAGAACATGTTCATACCATTTCAGGGCTTGGTGACCATCACCAATATGGCTGTAGACCTCTCCCAGCAGCTAGACCCAGCTCAGAAGAGTTTCTGCAAGAAAGTGTCATGGGAGAACCATGGTGACCTGACATCAGTAGGTAAGGATGTCTTTGCCAAATCTGAATCTGTCTTCAGGAGCCCCCATTTCCATACCTCAGTTTTGAATTATGGAGAAGGGAGGGGAGTTTTCTGAAATGTTGGCCTGAATTTTTGCTTCCAATTCCTAAGATAAACTTGTGGAATTGAAAGTTGGTATCTTTGTTACGCATGAAGTGTCATCTTTGACATCTGTCAAATCCTCCTTACGTGTCTTTCTGCTTCCTCCTGCAATAACACTTTTCTGACAAAACCAAGCAGCTAGTTCTCAGTTTTAGAATGGCAGGAGTATGACTGAACTCCATCTCTTTTTGTTTATGCAGGACATTGTGTTTCTAAGCCAGATTTAGTCTCTTTCCTGGAGCAAGGGAAGGCGTCCTGGATGGTGAAAAGAGAGCTGACAGGAGGCCTATTCTCAAGTGAGTGCGGGAGAGTCTGGTGTAGAAAAGCCACTGCAGGTGAGAGCTCAGCTTTCCTCAAAGAAGCCAAATCCTCACTAATATGCAGTAGAAAAATTGCCAAGTCCTCCAGGTCTGGCAAGAAAATTGAAGCCTGGAATTTCCAAATTATTCTTTCCTCTTCCTTTTTTCCCTTCTTTCTAATAACTAATTTCCCTGTAGTGGTCCTTTTTTTGACTGCTTGGATGTGTATCAGCCTCTCAGTTCCTTAAGTGACTTTTCCTGCCTGTGATGGACTATTGTGTTGTCTTCCAAAAGTTTATTCTCCTGTGATTAAATGGCCTATTTATTTCATTGTGTGTCCATTCCTGTAAGAACCACGAATTGAAAGTTATGTGAGTGAGCCACTCTGCTTGGTGTTGGCAGGTGACTGGAGAAAGGGAGACTTTACACATATATATAAACCATCAAAGAATTACTCTAATGAAGATAAGACACATTTATGGACAATTTGCAAAATTCCGAATAGGGCATTATACAAAGGAGATATCATTTCCAGTTGCTCCTATGTTTCAGTAGAACAGGGTGGGCAAAAGTGTATTGCAAGAAGATGGAGTAGAAGGTCTCTTCTCTTGATACACAAGTAGAGGAAAAGAAATTTCCTTGGAAAATAATGATTTGTAGATAATGTATTTCTGTCTCCTGTTTGGCAAAAGAATAGAAAACCATGACCAGTATCACAGCATATTAACATGTCGTGACAGCTTTAGACCCCTTCCAGTCATGGTAAACATGTATTTTTCACATAGTAGAAATTATAGTTTACATTCAGTCATGCTTTAGCATTAAAGATATACTTACAATAGGTTTCTTTATGTAGGTGGAAACTACATTTTGGGGATTGCTGTATCCCTGGGTATAAGCATCTGCTAAGCTTTGAAAGTTTTGTTTTTAGTGACTAATAATGACTAGATGTGTGGGTGTAATTGCATCCTCTCAGCATTGGGTATTTACATGAAAACTTTTGCTCATTATTTGGTGAAAGATAATAGCTAAAATTATTTTTTTATTATGGAAAAGGGGAACTTTCCCCTAAATTTGGTTTTTCTCTTTACCTATTTGTAAAATGTTCCTCATTTGTATCTATTCACTGTTCCTGTCTTAAATGTTTTCTTAACAGTCCCAGCGATTTTTATATATAGTATAAACATACCAATTCTTTGATATATTGTCTCAAACTATTTTTTACATATGATAATGAGTTTTTATTTTAATTAAGTCTTTTAAAATTGTGATATGTAAATTTTTAAAAATTTTTCTGTGGTCTATGTATTATTTCTATTACAATTTCTCCTAATATTTGTGTCCTTAGAAACTTGATACATATAGTTCTACTTAATTTTTTTAATGGCCATCTGGTATCACAATATATAGATATACAATAATTTATTTAAATAATTTACTGTTGATTACATTTGAACATTTAGGTCTTTTTCAGTTTTTACCCATAATCAACAATGGTCTAGTTTGTTCATATTTCCTTTTTTACAAGTCAGAATATTTCTTGCTTTCTTTTTAAAATTTTTTACATTTTCTGGTTTACTATAAAAATATTGCAAAAGATACAGAGAAACAGCCAGATGAAGAGATGCATAGGACTAGGTATGGGGAAGGGGGCTTGGAGCTTCCATGCCCTCTCTGGGAGTACCAACCTCCCAGGACCTCCACATATTCAGCAACCCAGAAGCTCCAGAATATTTCTTTAATATGCCTAGAAATGAATTTTCATGGTTCAAGAATACATATTTTTTAAGTTTCACGGATATTTTGCTATATCATTGGTGAAGAATGCATGAGAGTACCTGTTTCCAGACATTATCACCAGTATGGATATTATTTTTTTTATTTTGGCCAAGCTGGTTAGGTGAAAAATAAAATTTTATTAAATTTGCGTTTTCTTGACTACTTGTGATGTTGAGAATATATGCATTTAAATTCATTTAGAGTTCATATTCTGTCGATGGTGTGTCTATACCCATTACCCACCTTTCAACTGGGTCATATTTCCTTGTCTTTATATAGTATGGATATGTCTTTTTCGTATAAATTTGATCAATTTTTTTTCCAAGTTTTGTGTAAATTTGCATGTGGTGTCTCTCACTATATAGCAGTTTAAATTGAGTGTTATCTTTATTTATAGAAGCATATACTTGTTGATTTTTTGTTTCACTCTTTTTCTTTTTGTTAGTAGATGTGTCATTCCCATTTTAATCACGTAACACGTTGGATTGTTCCCATTTCTGTCTCTTATTTCTTTCTCTGTTTCTCCTTTATCCCCCTCGTTACTTTCATTTTCTTCCTTCTTATTTTTCCCTTCCTTCCTTACCTTTCCCTTTATCTTCAGTCTTTTCCTGGATGGTTTGGTTTTCTTTGTTTTGTTTATATATTTTTATTATGGAAGAGTACATATAACATAACATTTAACCATTTTAAAGTGTACAGTTTGGTGACGTTAATTTACAAAGTTATGCAACCATCACCATTATCTAGTTCCAGAAATTTTTCTTACCCCAAAGGGAAATCTTGTATCCATTGAGCACTTACTCCTTTCCCTAGCCTCAGGCAACCATTAATCAGCTTCTGTCTCTATAGGTTTGCCTTTTCTGGATATTTCATGTATGAAATCATACAATGGGTGGCCTATTTGGTCTGACTTAACATGTTGCCAAGATTCGATTCATGTTGTTACATGTATCAGTACTTCATTCCTTTTTAAGGTTGAATAATATTCCATTTTATGGGTGTGTCACATTTTGTTTGTCCATTCATCTGTGATGAACATTTGGGCTGTTCCTGTCTTTTGGCTACTGTGAGTAGTGCTGCTGTGAGCACTAGTACAAGTCTTTGTTTGAATACCTGTTTTCAGTTTTTTGAGGTATATATCTAGGAGTGGAATTGCTGAGTCATATGATAATCCTATTTTTATCTTTTTGAAGAACTGCCAACTGTTTTTCCTTAGCAGCTACACCATTTTACGTTTTCACTAGAATGTACAAGGGTTCTGATTTCTCTGCATCCTCACCAACATTTTTTGTTTTATGTTTGTTTGCTTTTTTAATTTTAGCCATAGTAGGTGTGAAGTAGTATCTCATTGTAGTTTTGATTTGCATTTCTCTAATGACTACTGATGTTGAGAATCTTCTCATGTGCTTGTTGGCAATTCATATATCTCTTTTGCAGAAATGTCTATTCAAGTCCTTTGCCTGTTTTTTTGCTGAGTTTTTTGTCTTTTTGTTAAGTTGTAAGAGTTCTTTTTATATTCTAGATATTAGACCTTTATCATATATATGTATTGCAAATATATTTTCCCATTCTGTGGATTATCTTTTACTCTTGATAGTATTATTTGATGCACAAAAGTTTATAATTTTGATGAAGTACAATTTATTCTTACTTCTGTTGCTCAGTCAGATATAAGAATCCATTGCCCATCAAAGGTCATTAAGATTTACCCTATATTTTCTTTTAAGATTTCTATAGTTTTAGCTCTTACAGTTAGGTCTTTGATTCATTTTAAATTAATTTTTGTATACAGTGTGAGATAAGGGTTCAACTTAATTTTTTTAAATGTAGATATCCTGTTGTCCCAACACTATTTATTAAAGAAACTATTCTTTCCCCATTGAATGGTTTTGGAACCCTTGTCAAAAACCAATTGATTCTCCAAAGAACACATACAAATGGCCAACAAGTATGTGAAAAATGCTCAACATCACTAATCATCAGGGAAATGCAAATTAAAACCACAATGAGATATCACCTCATACCTGTTAGGATGGCTATTATATATATATATAAGAAAAGACAACAGATGTTGATTGGGATGTGGAGGTATTCTAAACTCTTCATGGGCAGGCAAAATGGTGCATCTGCTCTGGGAAACTGTATGGTGGTTCCTCAAAAAATTGAAAATAG